TTTTGATCGTTTTAATTTTCTTCGCGACAAAATACTTTGTAAAAGTTGTTCGGGATATCAAACGTCTCGAAGGTGTAAGTAAGTATTGAAATGAGTAATTCTTCATCAGAAAAAACGTCTCAAATATTTATTTAACTTCTAGATTTCTAAATTATTTAACTGTCGCCATCGAATTCAGACTATTAAATTCTTACTTCTTCGAAGATGTAGAATCTGAAAATTTCTGATGCTTTCGAATTTATGTTTGCGTTTTCAGTGAAAAGTCCATTGTTCTCACACGTGAACGAGACGCTAAACGGTCTACCAACGATTAGAAGTAGTGGCAATGAAATCGAGAAAATGATGCGAACACAGTTCGATGTGTTGCAAGATCATCACTCCGGAACGTGGTATCTCTTTCTAACATGTTCGGCGACCTTCGGTATCTTTATAGATCTAATTATGTGCTCGTTCCTTGCATGCCTTTGTTTCTTCCTTATATCGATAAATGAAAATGGTAAGTTATACTTAATTAAAAAGTTTTTATTAGTTGACAGTTGAAAGTTTTTCGTGATTTTCTAAGAATATAGTGAAGATACCGAAAAATACCACGAATTAGAATCAAATAATATGTATTATGATTTTTAAGCTTTAGTATATTTGTTCTTATTTGTGATCGGTATTTTGATAAAATATGTTTAGATAATCTTAAAAACATTCAAGCTGTTGCAAATTTCTTTGTTGATTTTCAAGCTGCAGTTAGCATAGACGGGAACACATCGGGTCTAGCCATATCGCAATCGTTGCGTCTGTTCGGTATCTTGCAATACGGCATAAAGATGTTTATTGAAACTATGGCGCTAATGATTTCCGTAGAAAGGATTCTCCAGTATACGAATCTTCCAAAGGAAGAACCTGTTACTTCGGACAATCCACCGCCGCCCACATGGCCGTCCCAAGGACGATTGATATTAAAGAACGTCAATATGAAGTATCGCAAAGATAATCCACTGGTTTTGAAGGTAATCCGAACGATTCTTACCAATATCTTTTATTCTTTATCTTAAGTATTATCACGTTGTCGTGCTTCGCAGAATCTGAACGTATCTATTGAGCCTGGTTGGAAAGTTGGCGTAGTGGGACGAAC